ACTATGTACACATATGTATTTTTTTAAACAAACTTTTTTGCTGAGAAAAAAAAGGCAAATATCTTAAAAAAGGCAAAAAAAGGCAACATCAAATGTTTATATACGGAATCAGGGAAAGCTAAATCGTGGACATTCTTAATCGAATATACTCTATCTCTTTAGCAGAAAAAAAGGCAATTTCCATAAAATCCGTTCCCTGGTAATAACTATTGTTAAATAGCCAACACCCGCATGTTTGCGGCGCCTTCAAACACCTTTCGAACTGTAAAACAATGACTCAATTCTATTCTACGCATATCTATAATACGGGTATCGAATTTCAAGCAAATCAGACCATAAATAAGAATTTTTGGAATAGATCGGTCCCTGCTCCAACTATCAGAAAAAGAGTATCCAATATTTTAACCCTGACAATAAGCTACCTACGTGCCAAGTTTCAAGCAAATCACACAATAAATAAGATTTTTTCCAATAGATCGGTATCTGGTCCACCTCTCAGAAAAAGTATCCTATATTTTAACCCAGACAATACGCTACCTACGTGCCAAATTTCAAGCAAATCGGACCATAAATAAGACTTTTTTTTAACGGGAAAAATGGATCCTATATGCTAATTTAGGCAAAAGGCTACCTACGTACCAAATGCATTTTTTGGCGTAGCTCGACCCCTGCCCCACGTATCGGAAAAATTAAAACTTTGTGCACACCTTCTAAACACCTTTCCAAAAAAGCAGCAACCATTCGAATCGGTTATGAAACATATTTAGGAGAAAATTGTTCCCAATTGATTCATGTTCACAATGAATTTCACAATTATCCGAAATTGTTCAAGCTTCACAACGAATTTTCCACCTTAACATTGCCGTCGAAAAAAATGCGTGTGTAACACCGTACATATGATAGAAGTGAAACTTCTTAAAAAAGGTGTGAGTCCCAGGTACCTACTCACGAAATTGGATGTGTAAACATATGTTTACGGTTCGGCAAACCATTAGGCGATTGAGTTACATACATAGGTTTGGTTAGAAGTCAAACAATTATTTCATTTCATCTTATTAATTTTCTGCTATACATACATATAATTTATTTATTCATTTTCCACCAACCACCACCACCTTATATGAATTCGCGCTTCTAGCATCCATAGGACCGGGTTGTAATGGAAGTAATTGTATGTTTAACAAATAAATGAAAATGTTTATAATGCAATCAATAGATCCTTACGAATTCGCCATTACCAAGGCACTAAGGAACATACGCACTTTTGTTTGCAAAATGCATTTATTTAAGTTGAAAGAAGACAAATTCCTTTGTTCGGCATTTATTCTTACTCGCTTTCTATCTTCCGAGGCGAATTTATATATTCTTATCACGAATTCATATATTCTTGTGGTAGCAAGAGATTAAAAACATAAAATTACCTTATAAATTAAAAGCATAAGTCACATGTATGCGTAGTCCAATTCGCGAAATCATTTCATCGATCTGAGTAAAAACTAAGTGCATAAACTCTATTTCGCCTTAATTGTAATTCATTCAGTTTCTACTCAAA